GATCGTTGTGTTCACTCCCAGGGGAACTACTTCGAGGGTGATGGATGAATTTAATACCTGAGATAAGTGTACGGGTTTTTATAGGCGCAGTCTAGAAACTTTCCGATCGCACCTCGTATATTTGATAGTAGAACCTGGCATACTCTTACCAAAGCCTGCCTTTGGCTATGATACTGAACCAGTGCATTCCACCTCCCATCCTCTCAGCCTGTTTGCCTAAATCTGTCTTCCAAGTGGCCATTTTCCAAGAAGTTTCTCCATCAAAATTTTGTAAGCATTACTTGTCTCCCCAATTCAAACTCCGTATGTATCCCACTGTAACCAGCTAGATTTTGCTGTTCTGATAGTTTTAAATGAACTGTATAAAACATTAGATTCTTCATTTACTTCATGCTTCTTCTTTAGTTTAATTATATTCTTGGGCATTTTGTTTGCAGACACTTGTAATTTATATTCTTCATTGAAAGTAGGAAGCTATGTTTTACAACCATGCAGTACTGCTGACAAATTATTATTTTATGTAACTTTCTTTATATGTATATAGCAGACAGGATGATAAAAGTTCTTGAACTGAATAATAACAATCATTTTCAAAATTTATTTGTCTCCTTATTTCTTTATAAACCTCATTTCTATATTATATTGTTGTTCAAAGATATATTTTTGGAATACAGTAAAGTCCCAATTATCTTACTTTCGGTTGTCTGACATGCATTCCATTTTATCCAATGTGCCACGTTAGAATTCTTTATTCTATCAACAGTGAATTCAGCATATGGTGGAATTCATCACACTTCTCCACTGTGCATTACTAAATACTATTCTTGTTTTGACATTTTTTATTTGTTTCTGTGTTGTATTGTCTTCATAATTTAATAATGTTTAAAATTTAAGTTTAATTGAGTTGATATTTACATTTTCATTAGTCTCCCATATTATCTGGCCATCCTTTAGTATTGTTTAGGTTGCATAATTTGGACTGTACTGTATTTTCAAATCATATACTTATATTATGACTATGTTACTGATTTTGATTGCATGTCATGCTCATGTATTTAGTTTTCACTAATTGACTGACTAACTATAGATATTGGCAAAGTACATGGTGCATGAGTGACTGCATAAGTTGCTCGTAATGATCGTATTGGACGTTTTGGCCATGCGATGCTGAGAACATTTATTTCAGGTTTCAGTTCTGGATAGGAGTTCAAGTCATATAGTCAAGTCCATAGTATGAGTTACATGAGCATTATGTTTGTGTTTTAAGATTCCATTTTGTTGACAACAAGTATAATTTTGTTATTCAAGTGGTTCACTTGTTGAATTTAAATGAATTTGGAATTATTAGTAGAATTGATATAAATTTCTTAGAATTGTTACATCACCCACACACCAAGTTGTTTGCCTGTGTCTAACTCCATGGAACAGAATTATTCTTCAGTAGATAATATGGTCAAGTAGTCAAGAAATTTTTTCACCTTTTATGATACCCAGAGGTATGTTATGTTGTACACAAGAGCCTGCCATTGGTTCACATTCTGAGCCACATGAATCCTGTCAACACCCTTCTACCCAATTTCTATAAGTTAATTTTAATATTATCCTCCCATGTACCCCCAGGTTTTCCGTATGGCATGGTGCTTAATAAAGCATAAGGGACAACTTTACCTGACTCATATATGCTTCATGCTACACCCATCTTGTCCTTGATTTATTCATCCTAATAATATTTAATGAAGAGTATGAATTATGGATCTTCTCATTATACAGTTTTCTCCAGTCTCCTGTCATTTCATCCTTCTTAGGTTTAAATATTCCCCTAAACCCCTTGTTCTCAAATAGTCTCAATCTGTGCTCTTCCCTTACCACGATAATCTGAGTTTCATACTTATACAAAACAAAATGTAAAATTATAGCTTTGTATATTTCAAGGTTTGTGCTTTCTAGACAGCAGATAGGAGCAATTAGCTCAGGACAGAGTCCATTGGCAGCCTTTTTTGAACACGGTGATGAGCCTTTGGGTTCCATAAAGAAAATGAGCTATTCTTTGACGAACCAAATATACAATCGACTTTTTAAAGAATTTCGTGTGCCATAGAGTGACTGAGTGAGACAGCAAATAGGAAGACAAAAATTCTTACTTCATATAATCTTACATTTTTACATTGTTTGTGATGTGTTGCTGTGCCTACATGAATGATACTTATGGTTATGCTTGCATGGTAACATGATTTTGTGTGTCATTCAGAATGCATGTGAAAACTATTGGTTTTGGTACAGAGTACACTTTTTCAGAATTTTTGATTTAATTTATTATTTACTAGGTAATACAGTTGACTTTTCAAAGTTCCGATCTGGGTAGGAAAATAGATTTGTATGTTTAACACACACACACACACACACACACACACATATATATATATATATATATATGTGTGTGTGTGTGTGTGTGTGTGTGTATTGGGGTGGAGGATAAAAGAATTTCAGGTTCATTTCATGGTCAGGTGATATACAAAATTACAAAGAATGTATTTAAAAATATGTGTATTTCTGTTTGGAGCACACATTTCCACTATTGTTTAGAATTCTAAATTCTATATATTTGGAATACTAAAAGTTTTAGGGACAGAACAGAGAATAATACTAGAAACAAAGGAAAAAATAAATGAGTGGATTAAAATAAAAAAGAGCTCTCCAATCAGTAACCAGTGAATGTGTTTACTATTAGTACCATGTGTTCAAAGAAATGAATCCAAAAGACTGCTGGAGATTTGTTATTATTTAGTTTTGAGCTGTTTGCCCTACTGGTAAATCATCTCTTAAAAAATAGAATTTTATACATGTTGTGCTTGATACACAGTAACTTATGGTTTATGGTCATATTGCATATAATCTTAACTGATTCTCATCACATTTCACATTTGTTTGAATTCAGTGGTTTTAATTTTAATTATAGTGGTGATGACTGTTTTGTTTTGCAGTTTGTGATGACTGTCACCATGAGTGGGAAGGTGATTGTCCTGTTCATGGGGCTCTTACTGTTGTTGAAGATACTAAGGTAATCAGCTTTGTCCTTTCCTTCTACATGTAATGTCACTCAAAAACAGGTGGTTTGATAGTGTGTGTATACACACAAACACAAATGCACACACAAATAGGCACATTTTCATTTACACATCAGTTGTATTCATCTAATGGAGTCTGCAATAAATGTTGCTATTCTCTGGACAACTAATGAAATTTAAAACCTACATGGATATGCATCACATGACAGTAAAAGTTTAATATCATTGTGTGATATTCAGTTCATAAACCACATACACTAAATGCCATGTGGACATATGCCCTGAATATGAAGGCAGTGTTTTCCTCCAAGATGTTAGTTTCTACCTAAAAGTCCATACACGTGTCCAAGAAAAGATGTATATACGCATTCAATTAATGAAATAAATACATTTTAATAAACTAAACCATTACATACATCAGCATTGGCACTTTGTTAATGTAGTGTAGCTGTTCAAATTACCACTGTTAGCACTGTGGCACAATTGACAGCAATGAGCAGTTGACAGAGGGTCAACCAAGGATTGTAGCGCCAACTGAAAAAGAAGAAAGAGAGCAGCTGACAAACTGTTGCTGCTGGAATGGCTCTGCAAGACTGAAATTTCTTGCTGGAGATCTTGAAGTGTTAGTACCTTTGCGCTGTACACCAAGAAAAGGTCAGGTGAAGTTAAATATGGCAATCATGGGTTTTACTCAATCGACCCTTTGTCATTTTGTGTATCTAAACCATGGAAAAAAATATTGCAGCACCATCTGTAAGTGTAAATCACACTAGGTTCTGCTCACAAACACAACACACAGAGTTTGGTAACAAGGTTAATATTCCATATTATAATGTGTATACATCTTTTGGGACACCTGTATATGTTTTTCATCAACATGGAAACCAAAATATGGCTACCCTTGTTGACTGTTTTGCTTAAAGTTCTCAAAATAGGTGCCAAGGAACAAATACAAATTAGACTGAAGGTCCAGAGAGATACTTTTGTAAGATGAAATTGTAAATGCCTTACATTTGTTTGGTGTCATCTTCTTAATTTTCTTTTGAATACCTTCTTTTAATAACTGTTGCAAGCACAAATTGTATAAAATGAGTCTTCATGCTCAAAAGGCACAGTAGTATAGAAGTTACATGTTCGTATAAAAAATACTTTCTACACAATCAGCTGTTCTAATCTTGTTGATTTACTGTCCTGTATGAAGAAAGTTTACCTTTGACCAATTTGAAGTTACAGTCAGTGGTGCAGAACTAGAAATAAAAGTACAAAATGTAGCAGTGTGAAAGCAGTTGTCTATGTTAAGTCAATGGGCATGAATCATGATATGAGACCATTCCCATTGTTATTTAATGACAGCTTTATGCATTTGAATGCAGAGTTGGATGGTAGTTCAATGGGAGGAATCTTCCATCTAAAGGAGTAAGATAATAGTTCAGTATATTACTAGGAGCTCATTAAATTTAAATTGAATTACTCAGTTCAAACTGTTATGACAATGTACTATTTTTATCATCACATTTCTTTCTCTTCCTTTTTTCTCTGTCTCTGACATTACATAGTGTACCTTCAATAATAATCCCTCAGGTGTAAAAGGTAATGGTTGGAATGATCCTTTGTTTCCTTCATTAAAGTTTATACATTTCTCTTCAAATGAATGTGTTATGTCTAAATCAGTAAAATCATTTACAAATTACTGTATGAATTTGGCAAAGTTCTAGTAGACTACATGGCGCTACAATCCAGAAGACATCCATCTTCCTTCACAAAAGATTCAGATGTCCCAGCCAGAGGACTTAATAAACATAAAGAAAACCAGCCAAGGCTCTTTAGTACTGGTACACATAGTAATGCTTTAAATGAAATAGATCTTTTTTTTTCCTCCCTAAGAGGTATTCTCTTCAGGCAGGTCATCTGATAACCAAGCTTTTCCATCTAGTTCTGTCATGACACAACTCCTCGTTAGTTTCTCTCCGTGTTCTTTTTCTTTCTCTGCAACATCTTTCCTAACCAGTTGCTCCCATCTTGACAGTGGTTTCTCTCGTGGGTGTTTTCCTTTTATTTTCATGATAAAACCTTCCTTGGAATGGTCTCTTTGTGCATTTTCAAAATGTGTCCATACCGTCTTATTCTGTTATTTGTTACTTTGTTGTTTGGTCCCAAAAGATATATTACTTAAAATTGTATCTAATTAGTTCTTATTTTGTCTCATTTGATTCTTCCTTAAATTTTTTTATAGAGTCTCATCTCTGCTGCCATTAATCCATCATCTGCCATGGTTCATGTCTAAGTTTCTGCTCTGTACATTAGAATGTGCATCTAGTAATTTTTAAATAGGCATATTTTTATTTATCTTGAATAATTTTTGTATTTTGTTCTTTAATACTTCCAGTTGTTATATTTAACTCCTTTAGTAGTAAGATAGATAGCAATTACAAATACCCAAGGTATGTTGAGTGTGTATTTTTATACACTTTTACTTTATTTTTCTTTACTTTACTTTTATTTATACTTTGATATACTTCTATATTTTTATGTGCTTATTTTTATGCTGAAATATTTCAGTTGTCATGAATTCTTTATTGTCAGAGTGACCTGATGTCTTTCTTGTTTTAGGTTCCAGCACACCCTGGAGATCCAACTCGAGCTGACAGAACAGTACCCTTTCAGTTGTGCATAGCTCAGTCTGGCATCAGTGATGCGGGCTGTGGTGTGTGGACAAGGGTACCTCTACGAAAGGGGTTGAGATTTGGTCCATATGAAGGTGCAAAACTGGAAACATCAAACAGTAATGGCTACTGCTGGCAGGTGGGGGATAATAGTTTTAATATTTAATTACAAGCACTTTGTTCCTTGGGCTATTTAACTGTGTTGTATTGCCAGCTTACCTTATGTAACATCACATAAAAAATACATACCAACCTGTATTCCTGGGTGTTCTTTTCTCTTATGATGTTTTCCAACTAGCATTTTGTATGCATTTTTGATCTCTCCGATGTATGATGCACATTTTCCCCAGCTCACCCTTACTGGTTTAATTACATTAGATGATGACTACACATTATGAAGTTCCTTGTCAAGTAATTTTCTCCATCCACCTGTTGCTTTACCTCTCTTGGGTCCAAGTATTTTCTCAAACACTGTCAAAGTGTTCATTTCTTACAGTGCCAAATTTTCCAGGGATTTATGAATAATTTATTTTAAATTCTATAACATTAGCTTTTAGAATTCAGTTATGAAACCTGGCTCTTCATGATACATGTATTCCATGCCTAGCTACAGGAGAATGAATGTTGTCTTTTATGGTGTCATTAATTATTTGTTTATTCACATGTAGGAAATTCCAGTACTGAAATTCATCAATGTCTGTCTGTGTTTGCAGTGTTCAGTATGAGGGTTCTGTCATAATCCAGTATAGTTTGCACATTTCTTGGAATAGTTAAAGTCCACTCTTGATGTTGCCAAAATTCATGCTCTGGGCATTACTGTTACAAATACAAACAATATCCATGTTGAAGTCAGTTTTCTAACTAACAGACATATTAGTACACCTGAAATGACTGCCATAATTGAAATATTAAGTGATATTCTTCTGTCTTATTTTTCCACTTTCCTATTACTGTATAAATTAATTTTTTGTTTGTCTTACATGGCTTCCAAAATGTCAGTATTTTATGGACACTTCATGTGGCTGATTGTCTGTGAGACTTCATTGGATTTCTTCTAGAGCATTAGAACATTTTTAAGACCTCTTTTTAGCAAATATGATCATTTTCCCTACTAATTTTCTCATTATTTTCCATCTTTGCTTAATTTTGTCTTCTATATCTGTAAATCATTTCCTCTGTGGCTTATTTTTCTTCATAACTGCTTCTGCAGTTCTGTCACTCCACCAGGGCATTTCTTTGTTTTTGTTTGTTTTTTGTTTTTTTAAGTTCTCCCACATATTTCTGTATGTAGTATTGTGCCCTTAAATATCTTCCATTCATCTGTTGACAGTTTCATTCTTTTGTATTTTTGCTTTTATCTTATTTTGGTATTCTTCTGTAATTTCCCTGTGCCCATGTAGTCTTCTTAATTAGCATGGTGAAGACATAATTTAATACCCATTGCTGCCCTCAGCAGAAAGTGGTTCATGAAAGGGAACAGATTTGCTTGTTGATGTACAATGACTTTCTAAACTTGAAAGTTATTTTACTTCTGGCTTTCAGTAGTGTACAAAGAATTAGTATCATAATAACATATTCCTCGATCACCTCTCTCTTCTTCAGTGTGAGTATTTATATAGGAGTTATGCTGTCTCTCTAAACCATGTATGCATTCTGGCATCTTACTCCATCGAAGTAAGATAATTTATAAACAGGATTAACAGAAATTCATTGAAGAGTTATGGTGTTTACATATTTTTATGAATTCACTTTATCCAGTTGTGATCATAGTCGCTTACTTTTGTTTCTTAAGGGCAAGAATTAAGCTTGTGAGCTCACCACGTGTTTTATTTTCATCCTTTGAATCAGTTGATTGATTTCCCCTAAATTTAGTATGGCCACAATGGCATTAGAGGACACCCAATCTTTTTAATTTTCTACAATCAGTAATAACACCAGTACACAATTTAGGATCCTGAAATTATATATATATATGTATTAACAGATATTAAAAAAATACAGAATTCATTTTTTTATTTCTATTTTGTGTGGTGTAAAACAAAATGGTTGCTGCATGAAATAAAAATTTACCTTCATTACAAATAGGAAAACAACACAAAACACTTAGGTTCTGTCTGACATCTGTACTCAAGTAATAAGTTGTTTCAAGAATCGAAGAAGAAATAGAATTACCTTTGCTGCTGCTGCTGTTGCTCCCACCACAATCATCACCCCAGAAATTTCAGCCTTTGTTAATACTAGAAGTAGGAGTAGTAGTAAAAGGAGTGGTAGTAGTAGTAGTAGTAGTAGTAGTAGTAGTGGTAGTGGTAGTGGTAGTGGTAGTAGTAGTATTAATAATAGAGTTCTCATTTTTCAAAATTGAAAACCAAATTACATTTTGACACTTATTGAGGGATGGCTTTACAATAGAATTAATAAATTTTAAATGTGCTGAAATAAAACTCTCCTCTCCCATAACATATTGAATGAACAAACAATAGAGCTGAAGATTTCTGTCTTCTGGGTTGTTGCGCTGTGTAGTCTGGTCGATGTTAACCAACGTTTCAGAGGTCATACTGCCTCCGTCATCAGGGTGAGGGCCGCTGTGAAAACCTCAAATCTTACAAACAATAGAGCTAATAGGAACAAGATAATTTCTAAAAAACATTAAATTATATAATTTAATAGGATAAAATTATTGTCTCTGCCAACATCTCATTGAAAGAAGGCACTAAGAAGGTTAGGACATAGATATAAGGTTAATATTAAATTGAATCTTCAGAAGGCCGAAACATATTGTTCTAGTGAATGGACTTTGAATATAAGTGATGAACAAGGAAAATCAAGAATCACCATGACACACAGGGATGCTACACTAAAGACTAAAGACTTGTAGTAATTATGAATTTTGTGATTCCAAAATGAGTATTATACAGATGTAAACATTTATTTTGGAAATTAAAATTTTGTTATCATAATTTTTTTAAGATTTCCTTCTGTTGTTATACACACTTTTTAATAACTTCCCAACATATTATTATTATTATTATCCCATCTCTTCACCACTTTATGGGGTATGTACTTCTTTGTACGCGAGACAGACCTTGTCTTTAAGGTACAAAGGGCAGCAGCTATTTCCGGGATACATATTGTTTTTAGCAAGTATTATATAATTTTATTTTATGAAAGCGTCTTTCGGATGATGTATGAAGTTCCCAAAATGGCGGTCTTCTACAGTTCCCTCATGTCGTGTTCATCCGGGATGTTGGCCAAATATTTTCTGAGCGACCTGGAGACAGTTCCTGTTGCTCCTATAACTATTGGGATTACTTTTGATTATTATTATTATCCCATCTATTCACCACGTTATGGGGTATGTACTTCCATGTACCCGAGACAGACCTTGTCCCTAAGGTACATAGGGCAGCAGCTATTTCCGGGATACATATTGTTTTTAGCAAGTGCCACATGTATTATGTAATTTTATTTTATGAAAGCGTCTTTTGGATGATGTTTGAAGTTCCCAAAATGGCGGTCTTCTGCAATTCTCTGATGTCTTGTTCGCCCGGGATGTTGGCCAAATATTTTCTGAGCGACCTGGAGGCAGTTCCTGTTGCCCCTATAACTATTGGGATTACTTTTGCTTGAACTTTCCACATTCTCTGTATTTCTATGAGAAGATCCTTGTATTTCAAGATCTTCTCTGCTTCCGTCTTAATAACATTCCTGTCAGTCGGTATTTCTATGTCAATTAAGAGGCAAGTTCCGTTTTTGTTTCTGATTATAATATCTGGTTTATTATTTGTGATGGTTCTATCTGTTCTGATTTGTTGGTTCCACAAAATAGTTATTTGGCTATATTGACTTGTCTCCACTGTCTTCGGGATGTTTATATACCAGTTCTTCTCTTCTAGCTTTACCCCAGTGTTCCTGCATATGTTAAAAAGTAACTGAGTACAGACACGATCATGTCGTTGTATATACTGCTCTTTTGCCAACACGGGGCATCCGGACACAACGTGATCTGTCATCTCATCAAATTGCCGATATAGTCTGCATTTGCTGTCTGTATCTGTTTTCAGTATTTTTGTTGCATAATATTGTGTGTTTAGTGCCTGATCTTGTGCTGCTATAATCTGATTTTCAGTTTCCCCTTTCATATCTCCTCTTGTTAGCCATAGAAACGTGTCTTCTTTGCTTATAAGTTGTCTGTCCAAACTTCGGAGATACTGTCCATTTTATTTTGTTCTCCCATTTTTTCTTTATACTTTCTTGAATCAATGTCTTAATTTGTTTTCCTTCATTTGTGTCATTGATTTCATCTTCAGAATTTAGTTCTTCTTTGATTTTCAATTCTGTCTTAGTTATTGAGTTCATTATTGCTTGAGACCTGTCGTGTAATTTTATAATATTAATATATGGATCCTTCTGATGATTTATGTGCAAATACTCTGCAATATTAACTATTTCACTTTTGTATGCTGCTTCAATTTGTGCCAGACCTCTTCCCCCTTCCTTCCTCTTTACGTAAATTCTGTCTGCGTCTGCCTTCGGGTGATGCATCCCATAAATTGTCAACAGTTTCCTAGTTTTTCTGTCAATTTTCTTCAGTTCTTCCAGTCTCTAGTTAATTATTCCAAAACTGTACCGCAGTACTGGAACTGCTAATACATTTATGGCAGTGATTTTGTTTCTGGCATTCAGTTCAGATTTCAGTATCATCCTTAATCTTCCATTATATTCCTTCTTCAGTTTATCTTTCATTTGTAGATGTTGTATGCCATCTCCTTCCTCAATTCCTAAGTATTTGTATGTTTTTACTTGTTCAATTTATATTTCTGTGTCCATATCAATTAACAGATTTTCTGATTCAGCCAATTTTCCTTTTTTATACACAACTTTGCACATTTGTCCAGTCCAAATTTCATTCCAATATCCTTACTGAATGTCCTAACTGTATGTAGTTGTTTCTGAAGTTCAGTCTCTGATTTGCATATCAGTTTTAAGTCGTCCATGTAGATCAGGTGTGAGACTTTTGTTTTAGTCTCATGTCCTTCATATCCTATATTCATTCGGTTGAGCTCTGCTGTAAGAGGGATTAAACTAATACAAAATAATAATGGTGAGAGTGAATCACCTTGAAATATTCCACAATTTACTCTGATATCTGTTGTTTCGGTTATTTTACCTCCCATAATTAGTTTCATACTAATTTTCCAGCTATTCATAGCTTTCATAGTGAAAGATATTATCTTTTCATTAACTCCAATTAGTTCTAAAGATTTAAGTATCCAACTGTGAGGAACGCTGTCGAATGCCTTTTTGTAGTCAATCCAGGCCATGCACGAGTTGTTGTTGTTGTTGTTATTATTATTATTTGTGTGATTTGCAGATTCATCACAACAGTCGACCATTATATTGTGTGGATGCCAAGGATTGTGGTGTTGCCAATTGGATGCGCTATGTCAATTGTGCTCGGCATGCAGAAGAGCTAAATTTAATGGCATTTCAATATAAAGGTGAAATTTACTATCGAACATTCCAACACATACCTGCGCATGTTGAGCTGCTTGTGTGGTATGGTGATGAGTATGGTCGACTACTGGGTATTGATGTTAAGAATTTTCACAAACCTCAACAGAAACAGTGCCATAGTGAGTAATATTACAACTGAATTATTCTTCTAAAAAGTATGTTGCATTTATTTCTGTTATTCCATACATTTCTTTGACTTCAGTCATGCACTCTATGTCTGAAAGATTTAATGTAGGTTTAACATTCTGAATCTTTACAATCACGGGGAAGCCTGTGAAAATGCATAGACTATTTTTTTAAGTAAGGAAATGAGTTAGCTTCTACTTACATTTGATTTAAAATAATTCAGTAAGTATTATATGTGTCCCTCACTATCTGTTGATTTCTACATTGTTTTTTAGCATAAATAATAATTACACCTCAAAAATTATTAATTTAAAATCTTGACTGAGCTCTGTGCAAACCATGGTACTCATTGTGACCACCACCTAACTCTGGAAGGCTAACAGAAGGTGGTACTCATTGATAGGTGTCATTTAACTATAATTTGGCAGCCACAGGAGATGTTCATTTGATAAGCTACTGATACTGTCCTTCTTTGTAGGTGTGTTCCGGTGTGTTGGATGTGGTACTACATATTCTAGCCCATTGTATTTGGAGAATCATAAGATTTATTGTCGTGGACTAAAGGGTATCAGGTTAACACAAAGTGGCAGAGAGTTTGGTGTTAAAAGCATTCAAAGCAACAGTATTCATACTAAGGTACATTGTGGTCATGACAGTAATCGACCAACCAGCATAAACTATGTTAAACCAGTGAATTTAAGCATTAAAGGTGATATGTGTGACAAGGATTCACACATGGATGACAAACCTTATGTATGTGAGGAGTGTGGTCACAAGTTTGCTCGAAGAGGTACTTTAAAAACACATATGAGAAGTCACACGGGAGAGAAGCCGTTTGAATGTGAGGAGTGTGGTCACAAGTTTACTCAAAGAGGTCATTTAAAAACACATATGAGAAGTCACACGGGAGAGAAGCCGTTTGAATGTGAGGAGTGTGGTCTCAAGTTTACTGAAGGAGGTACTTTAAAAAGACATATGAGAAGTCACACGGGAGAGAAGCCGTTTGAATGTGAGGAGTGTGGTAACAAGTTTGCTCGAAGAGGTTATTTAAACATACATATGAGAAGTCACACGGGAGAAAAGCCGTTTGAATGTGAGGAGTGAGGTCACAAGTTTGCTCATAGATCTCTTTTAATTAGACATGAGAAGTCACACAGGAGAGAAGCCGTTTGAATGTGAGGTGTGTGGTCACAAGTTTGCTCATAGATCTCATTTAAATGCACATGTGACAATCCACACTTGAGTGAAGCCATATGAATGTGAGGAGTGTGGTCACAAGTTTTTAGAACATGGGATTTGAAATTCCACACAAGAACTCACAAGGGAGAGAAGACGTATGAATGTGAGGCATGCAGTCACAAGTTTGCTCAATGATCTGTTTAATACAAACATGGAATCACACACAAGAAGATATGCAAATAGAAGAATAGTTTTCAAAAATTTCTCTCAGATATCTGTTATGAATATACAGCATAATAATGCTTATTGGAGAAAAGATTGTGTAAGAAGCATTATAACAAGTGTTTACATATTGAATCGAATATGACAGAAAAGAAATCACACCAAGATTGAAGTTATTGACTGTCACAAAATCATCATCCACTTGGAACAATATAAGTACTGCATAATATGAAGACAATTTAAGAGTTATTGGTTATTATTGGGTGTATATTGATGTTATTGTTTGTAAAATTCTCTCTCACCATTGTTTGCTCATCACTGAAAATCTTTGAAGTTTAGAAATTTATTACTTCATATCCATTCTTCTCATTGGTTATTTTTATTATAAGTGAAGGGAATTGGGGTTTTAGGAAATATAATTGTAATGCTCAATACAATGTATAGATGAAATAGTAGAGTGTGCTTCATTTAATAAAAATTCTCCTTTGCATTCAAGACTTTCATATTCCTGGAAGTTTGTGCATGTGATACATAAGAATTATTTGATAGAATAGCTAGTGCTCTCTTACTTTTCCATTTGTATAGAGCATTACTTTTGTGATACCAACAAAAAATTACTCCTGTTAGTGGATCTCTGCCTTGGACATTTTTGATATTTTGAAAAATTTGAAATTTTTCTTCAAAATTCTCCCCACACGATCAATGCGAGAACCGGTCTTTGCCGCACACTGTCTGATGGATGCGGTCTCTGACGTACACGGTCTCTGCCCGATCCTTTCCCTGTATCACCTGATTACTGCAAGGCCATCTCTGCAAAGACCTGGTTGAGCAGAGGCACAGACCGAATCAAGCAGAGACAGTGTGAAACAGAGAGTGTCGAGCAGACCGGGTGCTTCACAGAAAGTGACCAGCAAAGAGCAGGTAAGGCAGAGACTGAGTAAAGCAGATACCAGGTGACGCACACACCGTATCAAGCAGGGACCGGTGAGGCACAGACAGAGTCTTGGTGAGAACGGGTGAAGCACAGACCGTGTAAAGCAGATACCGGTTGAAGCACAGACCAAGTCCAGCTGAGACTGGTTGAAGTAGACAGAGTGGCAGAGACTGGGTCCGGCAGAGACCAGATCTGATTTTTCAAAATTTTCTAAAAAAAAATGCAGCAAATTTAAAAGCGCAAAAAAACCCAAAAAAATTTCGAAAAATTCTAAAAAACAGAATTTGAAATATTTAAAAAAATTGAGTTTTGTAAGCTTTTTGGACATTTTCGTACATTATTTGATTTTTCGAAAAAATTGAATTTTTTCAAAATTCTCCCCAACCGATTGCTGCCAGAACTAGAATCTGGATGACAATGTCTCTAAATGACCCGGCCTCTGCCGAACTCTGTCTCTGTACGAATCGTTCATGCTGTGCCCCGACTTCTGACAAGCCGCCTCTGCAAAGACCTAGTTCGATAGACGGTCAGGCGCAGAACGAGTCATACAGGGAACGTGTGAGGGAGAGACCGAGTCAAGCACAGACCGCATCAGGCAGAACACCTGTGCACAGGCCGGGTCCGCAGAGGTTGGGTGAAGCACATACACTGTCAGCAGAGCCGGGAGAAGCACAGGGGTAATGTGGTTGAAACTGTGTGAGGCTAATACAGTCCGGAAGAGACCGGGTTCAAGGAGAGAACAGTTCTGTTGTGGATGGTGTATGTAAAGCTTAGAAAAAAATTTCGAATTTTTCCAAATTTTCGAAAAATCAAAAACCATGTAAATTGTCTGAAGAGCGCACAAAACGCAAATTTTTATAGTTTTGTGCGCCATTTGGAAGATTTGCGGCATTTTTTGTTGGTTTTTTTAATTCTATCCACCTGGTTACTGTCAGAGCCGGTGTCTGACTGGGCCTGTCTCTGACGAACCTTCTTACTGATGGATACGAACTCTGTAGTTCACAATCTCTGAGAGATCCGATCTTTGTATGACCAGGTCACTTACGGGCCGTCGTTTTAAAGAACGTTTCGGACAGAGACCGTGTGAGGCAAGGCCCTTGTTCGGCAGAGAACGAGTCCAGCAGAGACCAGGTGAGAGAGAGACTTATTAAGGCAGAGAGCTCGTGAGGCCGTGATCGAGTCATGCGGAGACCTGGTGTGGCAGAAATGAGTTCTAGCAGAGAGCTGTTCTGGTGATGTTCGGTTGGGGCGAATTTTGAGAATTTTTCAAAATTTTCAAAAGATCAAAAATTGCTGGAATTTGTCTAAGAACCAAGTAAAACAAAAAAATTTAAGTTATAATTTTTCAAATGTTTTAGTTTTGTGCGCCATTTTATAATGTGTAGAGAAGCTGACCATCAGCCCAAATAAAAGAGAAAATACAATAAAGAAAGACAAAGAAGAAATGAGGTAAAAAATATTCTTACAAAAGTAAGGGCCTCTAGACAGCAAGATGAAGGTGAACTTGAATATTTCATCTGCATAGTAAATGTTCTTGCAAGAGGATGTATTTTACTTTTACAGACATGTGTGAAATCCTAACTTTCTGCTGCTGGATTGCCATGAACCACACACTGGTGAGAGCATTGTGGCTGAGTTTTCTACTCATCAGAGTAATAGACTACTTATTCCAGGTGGCTGTATCTCAAAACTCCAGCACCTTGATGTTAGTTTGAAGAGCATGTTCCATGTAAGTAAGTCTGTGACGTAACAGCTCCAGAGAGCCAAAGCTGACTAGCTTGACTGCTGGCCTCACGTTCACATGCCTAAGCAGAGGCAAACGATCATCCAACCAGATATAGAGTGACGTGTGGTCAGCATGACGAATCCCCAGCCATTGCTATATTTCCTGACTGGATTACGCTACGTATTGTAGCTCCCCAATTTCCTCACGATGCTGGGTTGGCACCGGTCCCATACACTGGTCGAAAGCTCATGAGAAAATTTCTTTTCCCCCCGAGACTCGATCCAGTGCACATTCTGTATCGCCGGTCAGAAGAATGATGCCTCAGACTACGCGGGACATGTAAGTAAGTACATACTGGTAATTAGCAACTAGCAACAGTGTTTGTGTTAACAGTTCATGACTCAGAATTATGACTTTATATATTCAGAAATCATTCTTTTTACCTCTGTGTTTATCCCATTTGCAGCCACATATTCAGTAAAATATATATGTATTTTTGCATGTGGTACGTATAAGACTTTAATGTCTTATTGAATGTGTAGAGGTAAACCAGAACAGTATATCAGGAGGAAATTCTGATGTTGGTGAAAAATTAATGTCAATTTTGAAATTCTGCTTCTGATAATTAGTATGTCTGTGTAATCATACTATGTTTCAAAAGCGGAAAATTACCACAGGTCTAATATCAGTTGAGTGAATAAATGAAGCACAAACAAGAAATATAATGTTTAATGTGAAAGGTGCCAATTAATGGTTTGTGAAATAATCCTGTCAGCCTAAATTTCAAATCCAGCTGTGAGGACATGAATCATGTCTTTGCTGACAATCAGAACAACACACATATTTTTATTTTGTTTTTCATATCACATATTTAGTTGAGTTAAAAATGTCCTACATTTTTTTAAATCTCTTATTAAGATGAAATAATACCAATGTTTCCACATATTTTGCTACCGTGTGTCATGTTCCATTGATAAATATGATGTATCGTTGTTCATAAAATTGATGCATAATAAAAATATTGATCTCATTTAACATTATTTGAAACACTTTCTAAAATGGTGTATATTTAACATCATCATCTTCCTAAGATATGCCAACTTTATGTGGGTTGTCTGTTAGCAACATACAAGGAAAAGAAGTTGTTTGTACTGTTTATCTTCATTGAGACCAGTAGTTATGGCTATATGCTAAGTTGTACCCATACTGTTAATTACCTCTGTTAACAAAATGTGCAATAAACGAACAAGAAGATCAGTGAGGCATGCAAAAAATTTATTTTAAAACTCTTTGTACTGTAAAGATACATACACTTTTCTGCTTTTGTTCCATACAAAAAAACAAGTCTTTGAAATGCCATGTTTTGTGATACAGTATGCCAATTTTTTGTGTCAATGTCTTGTCTTGTGGGTCATGTTACTGCCTTTGGGATAGTAATGGGCATCAGCTTCTAGAATTAATTTATGTAAAGGACTGTGGATTCCTCCAGAGGCAATAAAATGAATTGTATGTGTTAATTTATTCCTTTATGCTAAGATACACATATATTAATTTATAAATTTTACTATTAACTTCTGTATTTGCTCTCGTCAGACATCTATACAGAAGCGGTGTTCGACAGTTTGCAGGCTGCTGCATTGTTCAGTTCAAAATCGTATACATCTCAAAACTTTTCTTGAACAGACACAACTTCTACTGCGTATCTATTGCCCACATCTTGATTCTTGTGTCATGACTTTCAAAGGTTCTACCCACAGCCACCACGATCTCGTATGTTTAGTTCTTAGCCAAGTCGCAAAGAAATTGTGGACTGGGTGACCACGGCATACTGCAGTTTGCAGGCTGCTGAACAGGTATGCACCTCAATGCATTGTTCAGTTCAAAATCATATACATCTCAAAACTTTTCTTGAACAGACACAACTTCTACTGCGTATCTATTCCCCACATCTTGATTCTGGTGTCATGACTTTCAAAGGTTCTACCACAGCCACCACGATCTCGTATGTTTAGTTCTTAGACACTTGTTTCATTTTACACCTTGTTCATATCTTGTGAAGTGATGGATGCAGTCATCAAAATACTTGATTTTCTTAAGTTTCTTCATACTTTGTTGTCAGCTATTTAATTTATATTAAATAAAATAAAGGCTAAAACATAAGAGAATTAACTAATCATGAGAAATTCATAAAATCTTTTATTTTGTTGTGGTTGTTAATTTGATATTCTAGCAGGTTAGTAAGAATTTAGAATCTATATAGAATGTATTTTATACATAGTTCTTTGTCAACATGAGGCTTATGTTTGTAGCCATGAAGCAACATGGCACAGTTTGTGAACAACATTAATGGTGATCAAGTTTGAATTGTTGTCATACAAGTGATTTTTAGGTGTGTTTGTAACCCTGTTGAGTGCCTATTACATATGAAACAGCTCAAGAAAGGATAAACTGGTTTTGAAAAAAATTGATATTGAAGCATTTTACAAAAAAATTGTCAGGCCTTTTCAATTTTCGTGTAGATTGGGCAATTTTAATGACCACTTTACTTTTCTGAGCTTATCTCTATATGTTTATAGATGACATTTACCTTGGTTTGTTATAGGAAATTCTCTGTGATGCTGTCATGACCTAAGCAGACACCTTCCCCACAAAATAGCCAATTAAGAATGAAATTCTGGTGAATGCAGCAAATTTTTATGATGTGCATACAGAATTTGTTGCATGATGTGAATATCATTAAAGATTAAAGATAAGTATTCCACTGGTTTGCAGCATGACAGTAATGTCACACTGTGATGTGGATTAAAAGTAATGTGATTCATATGGTTTATGACAAATGAGTTCTTAATTTTGATCTAATGAAAAACTGAAAGCTTGAGACTAAGTCCCGTGTCCACTTTTGCTGACTAATAGGTCCAAGAAATTTATAAAACCCCTGTTTTTAAAGTGGCTGATATGAATGATAGTGGCCGAATTTTGGACCCTTCTGCACATCTACTGTCACATGCTCTTGTGATTTAGTCAGTGTGAGTGGTTTGTGTATGAAGTATTCAGTTTATTCAAGTGTGAAGCAGACACCATTTGTACACATATTACTTTCTGTGCCATCCATCTTTGTTTGTATAGGTCAGTTTAGATAACTGCCAACATTGAAAATCTATACAATCAATTGAGAGACAGATTTTCCAAAGGTTGTGTAAGAAAACAGTGAGAGATGATTTATTTTGTTCTTTTAGGAAACTGTACGTAGAAGTTTTCTGGTCACTGGGCTTACAGCGGGTGCTAATAGGAGTGAAGATCACTTCATTGAGAATCTGTCAATGATTCCAAGAGCCAATAACTGTGTTTAGTTCTCAGCAGAGCAGTGTCTGGTAAGTTTCATATGTCGTGTAGAAGTGACATGCAAAAGTACTGTATTTATATGTAATGACATTCAGTGAACCCAAATTTTTATCATATTTTCCTAAAATTATAAGGACACATATATTTATATTGTCAAATGAAAATGCTGTAGACTGGAACATGATCATTTCCTTTTGAGCTCACCATGTCATTTCCAAGGCTGTGGAGTCAGAGTCAGAAGCAATTTTAGGTGGAGATGGAGTCGGTAAAAATGTACTGACTCCGACCTTGACGTAAAATCTTAAGAACACTTTCGCTACCGTGTGGGCCGCCAGCAGACTCACGCTTAGGGAGATTTAACGACACGTTGAGCCACATGGTGTGGGAATAATGCCTTGTAACTTTGGCTCTAGAACCTTAAGAATACAAACAGTCTACGAAACAAGTACTGTATTTATATGTAATGACATTCAGTGAACCCAAATTTTTATCATATTTTCCTAAAATTATAAGGACACATATATTTATATTGTCAAATGAAAATGCTGTAGACTGGAACATGATCATTTCCTTTTGAGCTCACCATGTCATTTCCAAGGCTGTGGAGTCAGAGTCAGAAGCAATTTTAGGTGGAGATGGAGTCGGTAAAAATGTACTGACTCCGACCTTGACGTAAAATCTTAAGAACACTTTCGCTACCGTGTGGGCCGCCAGCAGACTCACGCTTAGGGAGATTTAACGACACGTTGAGCCACATGGTGTGGGAATAATGCCTTGTAACTTTGGCTCTAGAACCTTAAGAATACAAACAGTCTACGAAACAAGATTTCTGCAATAACCATTAGACATATACAGTCAAACCTCGGTTCACGAACTTAATTCGTTCCTGAAGGTCGTTCGTAAACCGAAACCATTTTCCAAATAGGAATTAATGTAAAATGGATTACTCTGTTCCTGGACCCCACATGATTGCTTATTTAAAATTTTACAACAGTACTTTGTGCACAAGTTCTTAACACAAAATCAATGGAAACCATTAAATCCATCACAAAAAAGATAAACACAACACTAAGCAGATCAAATATAGACAAAAACTTAATTTAGTTTTACCGTACCTGAATGGAGGAGAGTTGATGGCGTAAGTGGAAGGTGGTGAGGAAGTGAAATGTTATTGTTTGGAAGGGGATTCTTTTTCTTTTTTCTGTCTCTTGGCACCACTCAATTCTGCATCAGACTCACTGGGCCTCTTGTCTCACTAAAAAGTTGTCCATGGTCGTTCGTAAACCGAAACCATTTTCCAAATAGGAATTAATGTAAAATGGATTACTCTGTTCCTGGACCCCACCTTACTGAACACGCTGTTGAATTTATCCCACACTTTGACACACTGCTACCGCGAGGGTTTGTAACATTTAAAGTACAATTTTGTGTCACTCTGAAATATCCACTACTTTCTGAATGCAGCTGTACAGTTGACGTCTACTGCCTTCCGCTTGAAATGACGCAAGTGGATGGGCAATGTCAAATGTCAATTATGGGCACTTGTGACATCATACAACCGAGAGGGTCGGAAAGACAAGCATAATATAAACGACAATTAATGCCCAACATTTTATTGCCTTTTGTCACTTTCAAGATTAAAGCTCGAAATGTTACACCAAAATAAAAACTCTGGTGTTCTCTTGGAATTGTGGTTGTATCTGAGTGCTTAAACATGTCAACACAATCATTATCTGACAGTTACAATGCACATTGTCGCTGCATATTTTCCCGGGTTTAATTCTCGGGTGAAATCCTGCAATTGTCAATTAGCATCTGTGAGTGTTTGTTAAAAGAGACAAAACAGATAACAGCTGTCACTTTGTTTCAGTGGATTTGTTAAACTAATATACAGCTATATACAGCGTGTTGTTTGAAATATTTGTAGATTTGTAGGTACTTAGGCGAACCGTTCTTCAAGTGCCTGAGCACTGCGGGTCCCAACTTTTCGTTGGCTTTGATCTATAGACATTTGGTAGGACTCCTTGGATGAGGGATCGGCCCGTCACAAGGCCTCTACCTGTACACAGGACAGCACAACACAGAAAAATGCGGACAAACATCCATGGCTTGATTGGGATTCGAACCCACGGTCCCAGCGACCAAGCGGCAGAAGGCCCACGCCTCAGACCGTGTGGCCACTGCGGACCGCGTATGTTTAAATATAGGTGGTGATGAAATATCTTGTGGTACCATCTACCAATTTAGTAGGTTTACCATTATTAATACATATTGAGCTTTTATGAAAGAGTAGAATCGCAGTTGGAGTCGGAGTCAGAGTCAGAGATTTTAGTACCAACTCCACAGCCCTGGTCATTTCATTGGAACACTATGTATCAGTGCAGCAGGCACAGTGTTAAATAAACTAGTTAAGAAACAAACAAAATTATCTCTGTTGAAATTCTTTGTGTTTTCAGTGACTATCATTCTCTATATTGTGTATTAATTTTCTGAGGAAATTCAACAGACATCAAAAAAGTATTTTATATTCAAAAGAGGATCATTAGAATAATGGCAGGCACTAAAAGGAGAGCCTCTTGTAGGGAATTATTTAAGAAGTTTAATATTCTTCCACTACCCAGTGAATTCTTGCTGTCACTATTAACATTTGTAGTGGATAACATGGAAAAATGTCAAACAAATTCAGATATCCACAATGTAAGAATAAGATGCAGATACAACCTTCATATGCCAAATTCTAACCTCAGTAAATATCAAAAAGGAGTTTCCTATACTAGAATTAAGTTAGCCAATAATCTTCCACCTACTATCAAAAGTTTAAACCATGATATAAAAATGTTTAGGCCAGCATTAAAAAGAGTATCTCCTATCACACTCCTTCTACTCAGTATAAAAATTTACATCACCCAAAAAGTCTCAACTATTATAAATACATGTAAGTAATAATGGTGATGGTTTCTCATCATAATTATTTTACTGTAACACTGTAGTTCCAAAAATCTTTCAGGTTTCATTAAGGCTTTCAATTTTCATTTAATATATATTATTTTTAATATGTAATGAAGAATAAGAAGAAAAAAATTTTCTGCAATAAATTAACATTCAGTGAAGTATACAAAATAGCAAAAAGCACATTCGGAAAATGTGTAATCCATTAAAGTACAGCATTCTTCTTTTGGCAATCATCAATCCTAATTAGGATTTCAGGTTCTTATGGTGTCAAGTATGAAGATTGTTGTCTCCTGGGTTGCAGTATCTTCTTATCTGGTAAAAGTTTATCAACATTTCAGAGGTGCTTGCTGCCTCCAACAGGGCAAATCACCCTGATGATGGAGACACCTCTGAATATAAAAATTTTGGTAGATTTCTACTAGACTGCATGGTGCTACAACCCAGAAGATAGCCATGTTCATCACTTCTAATTAGTAGCTTTTATAATTGTTTGTTATTTTCAGAATATAATTATACATATTGTTTTTAGTAGCTACCACCTACCAGTGACTGTTCATAATATTGGTTCTGTAGGTTTTCATCTTTCCTTATAATACCACATTCCTGATTTGTAGGGATATATTTTGTGATAGAGATGAAAATAAATATGTGTAGTAGGATTTGAGGTTCTCGTGGCAGCAAGTATAGATGGTTGTCTCCTGGGTTGTAGCACTGTGTAGTCTGGGTAGAGGTTTACTTGAAGACATCTAACTATATTGACATGTCATAAAACCAAAATATGCAACATCTTCATAAGAAACAACTCCATAATCTATATTCTAATTCTGATTACATTGTATATTGGACAATTTTACAAAAAATTGCTAAGCTATTTTGATCTCGCCTTTGTCTTTCAATAATTTTATGACAGTAGGTTATTCTACACAATATCTACGCAATATCTCTGAGGTATGTCTGTATGGACATCAGTATAATGGACACTTGGTAAGAACATGATGCTAATTGAGACCTTCCTATCTTGATACATATTATCTTTCTCTTGCCAACAGTAAGAGCATGGTGGTCATTGGAGTAACAGTAGCACCGTCCAATGTAGGAACATTGATATTTTGTGTAGAGAACAGTCATTAAAAGTTTTTAAATCATTATTAAGATATTATTTTAATAAAGTGGAAAATAACATCATGATAATTAGAGATGCTATAGTATAATTATGATAATTTGTGTGGCAGTGTGTTACTAACATATGAACTGCATGTTTGTTTCCTAACTCATTACAGATAATGTTTGACTAATTTTCATAAAAACTTGTTCAGCCAATATGGGAGAGCTCTTTATTTTCATACAAGAATGTTATTTTTATTTGGGTTGTCATTTGGAAGAACAAGACAGAAATTGGATACCACATGCATGCTCCATATTATTACATGTTATCAAAAAATTTGAAAATTTATGTTAGTGGATGTATTAAACATGTTGATCTCTCTGCTGACCCAAGAAAGTGAAGGAATCCATTTCTGAGCTGTAAGCTCTGTTGAGGTGAATGCATGCATAGCAGGTGACCTATAACTTAAAGCCAAGACAATGAACTAATTCAGGTATTTTAACAACTTGTGCTTACATCATGCTTGACTGAATTGTATTTCAAGCACTAAATTATATTGTAACTATAGCAACATGAAGATGGCTGTCGTGTGGGATGTGGCACTGCGTAATCTGGTGCTACCACATACAGAATTCTGGTTCCAAATGGTTGCTCAAGCATCAGTGGTGGAACCATCATTGTTTATTTCCTGAGGGTGCCACTAGCGAGGTATTCCCCGGTGATGACGAACCTCCATAGGTGGCTGCCCTCTCAGGTCATAATCCAGATCTTCCCAAGGCAAGCTGAAACGGGAACAGACTAATGGTGAAAGCCATGTTCTGGGAAGGGGGATGTAAGATTAAAGGCTACATGAGCGAGGGACCTCCTGGATTCCCTTTGTCCCTTGGGGAGTACAAAGTAATTGTGTAGTTCTTAGATGGTGGATGACAATCAGAGAGACAGACAAGGCTCATAAGGCAATGAAGTTATAGGTCTAATACCATCTGACTGTGATCGGCTTGCTTATAATAATAGTAATAACGACAACAAGAACAAGAACTCGAGAACAATGAATGTAAGCGTTAACTGAATGACATTTAACAAAAAACTAGATTATAAACAAGTACTGGTATTATGTATATGATTCTAATGAGTTTTTTATGGCTGTAGCAGTCACTAATACCTAATTAAGATTTATTAAATTTGTTATGTTACTGGAAATCACACTTATTAAATCTACATATAAATCCAATTGAAGTTAGAAAACAGAACACCAACACTGACCTTTCAATGTGAACACAAACAATTTGTTAATAAAAATATACTAATGTTTACAAAACTCATCTTTCTCAGGGTTCACAGTGGATGGTACGACCAATGTCCACTGTTGCCTCTGCACTTAACATGAGGGCATCACCCGTAGCTGTTGTCTTTATGTCTGGATCCTTGTTTTTACTGGTTTGTTGAGTACAGGTCGTTCTAAAGTATGGTCATTTCTGGGGTATTAGTGGCCTCTCGCTCAGTCTGATGATCAACCTGAAAATAACATACCTTATTAGCAACTGAGAACAAAACTTTTAAAATATGCTACATATCTTGTAGGCTCAATTTTCTCCAGTCGGGTTCAGAATGTCTGTAAAGTGTGTTTGCCAAGTCTCCATCTGGATGGTGGGCGGTATTGGTACTTTCCTTTCTCTCAGCGCCACAAAAGGGTCAGTGACATCTGCTGCTGCTAGTTTCAGTTCTTCTTTTTCCATATAAGTGTTCCTTTTATCCTTAAGAAGGATTTTGTACTGGTTCCTTGCCATCGAGTATGTCGCTAAGTCTTGGGAGAGTCCTGACAGTTTTGTTTGGTGTAAGGCTTGTAGAGTAATCCGTCTTTTTCTGTAACAGTGCGCATCGAACCATGGCTTTGCTTGGCTTTTCTTGACAGGGATTATTGCGGATTGGAGTGGCTGTTGTAACTGTTGAGTTGCTTTTGTAATACTGCTCTGTATGTCTAGTTGACTCCATTTCCTCTCTTGCATCTTTTAGGACTTGCAAATCAAACTTTCTCGATACTTTTGTAGCCCTTTTCTGATGGACTGACATTGCATTAGTCTGCTTGTCGAAGGTGGCGATGACTGGGACGTGTTTTCTGAGTGGGGCTAGGCTAGACGAGTAGTCCACTATTTGTTGTCTTACACGCATGTTGTTTCCTCTGCAGAATATGATGTCTATCGTGCTGCTTCCATTGGGTGCGGGATATGATTTTTGCTCTGCATTGCTTATTAGGCTAAAGCCTTCTTCTTTGAGAGCTTTGACTAGCAGTTTGCTCCTTTGCGTGGCCTTATCTATTCGGCAGTTGAAATCTCCTGCTATTATTACTGGATCTTCAGGATGAATTAGTGATGTCGCGCCATTATTGTTGCTATTATTGTTTCTACGTCTGTATGGAGTTCGAAGTACATGACTAGGATGTTTACAGTGTCTGTTTTAACTAAGGTGTAGTTATCATCGCTGTGTCTGAGGGTCACCTGGCCTAACTTAGGATCGGTGTAGCAAGATATTCCCCCGTAGGATCTTCCCTTGTTTCTCTGTTGTGCTAGAGTGTGTGTTGAGTATTTCCCTGGGAGCTCTATTGGGTCTGTAGTCATTGTCTCTGTCAGTATGTAATAGTTTTATATCTGCAATAATGATGACCATCAAGGCTGGTGAAATATTGAAATTTGCAAAGAATGTATTTTGACAATATGTGTACTCCAAAATGGAGTCTGAAATATACTACCCACTCTTTGTAAGTTTATAAATTAATTAAATCTGCTGTACCTAGTTACATATTGGTGGCATTAAAAACTCAAGCCCAATAAAAATGGAATTGAAATTCTCATCTATAAGCAGTAGATGTCAACCATTGTTTTGCTGGGATATTTTACAATATTGGAGCTATTTCCTTCACTGTTAAGTACTAATCTTTGCATCACATGGCATCTGCTTCATATATGACAGGTATGTGACTTGAATCATTCCCTAGTACTGGTTATTATTTTTTCTCATCCTCAGCCCGGTAATGTGCCACATGCATTTGGTGTTTAATGCAAAGCACCATTTTTTAAGAATTGGCAGTCTTTCATTGACGCTGCATAACCTCTTCAGTTCATGCAGCAGTGAAGCTGATTTTGGAGTATTGTGTCTAACAAGACTAGTTTTAGTTAGTTTAGATGTTAGAAACAGAAGGAATTCAAAGATACTATTTAAGATGTAATAAGTTCAATCAGAAGGTGACAAATTACTCATTTACGTACATACATCTGCAAATGTGAATATAGCACCAAAATCTTGGTAATGATGTTATAGGGTGATATATGTTGTTTAATTAGGACTTGACTGTTTAGTATGGGGTATTGTGCACGTTTTTAGATATTTCTCATACATCAAAT